ACTCAGGTCCTCTTGATTTCAGGCCAGTGCCGTATCCATTGACACCTAGCTGCCCTAGACCCTGCTTTTTTCCCCCCTCTCTGTTCATGCAGATATTCCCACAAGCCTCTGAATCTGTCATATACATCTACATCACAGTAATACTCATATTCCATAATTTACTGGACCTCTAACCCCTCCAGAGCCAGCATCAGCCATTATGAGGGCTCTTGCCTTTTAATGTATAGCATCGTGTTCGCTCTTTCAGTTGTTTTCTTCACTATCACTTCATGCAAGTTTTCCCATGTATCCGAATTCTTCATACTCATTGCTCCTTATGGTGTGATGACATCCTGTTCCATTCATATATCCTATTCAACTATTCCTGTTATAAGGCACATAAATTCTTTTTTCCAGCTTTTTGCTTTTATAAATAGTTGCTACCTGTAGGACTTTCCCCTGGCAGCACTCAGTTAAAAAGAGCTCCAAAGTTAGCCAGCCACTTTAGCATCTGATATTTCTAGGATCCCACCTCTTTGACATGAACATGGTTGGTGGTCATAGGCTGGTCACATTATTACATAGGATTGAGAACTGAAAAAGCCCTTACAGGGTGACATCATAAACAAATTAGAGGGCACATGGAATACACTTTGCGACCAAATGAAGGACAGGATCACAGATGATAAAATGGACAATTTTGATTACATAAAACTAAAAAGGTTTTGTACAAACAAAACCAGTGCAGCTAAAATTAAAAGGGAAGTCGATTTGAGAGAAAAATCTTTGTTGCCTGTTTCTCTGATTAAGGGTCTCATTTCCTAGATGTATAAGCAACTGCATCAAATTTTAAGAATAAGAGCCATTGGGGCAACTAGGCAAAGTGGATAGAACACGGGCCCTGGAGTCAGGAGGACCCAACTTCAAATTCAGCCACAGACACACTTACTAGCTGTGTGACTCTGGACAAGTCACTTAACTCCAATTGCCACACACACACACACACACACACACACACACACACACACACGAATAACAGCCATTGCCCAATTGATAAATGGTAAATGTATATGAAAGTCAGTTTTCTAAGGTGAAAAAACCCTTAGTTATCTTGTCCAACTATGAGTTCTACTCCATCTGATCAGGATGGAAACCTTGGCCTTCCTTACTGTCTCTCCTTCCTCCTGTCCCAACAGCTGGAGTTGCTAGAACACTGTCGCATGCAAATCCTGAATAAGTGTGCTAGATGCATCCAGTTCTGTTGGCGACGGCACCAGCGCAGAAAGCTGGAGAAGCAGAGATGGGCAGCCACTCTTCTACAAGCAGGTAGGGCCCAGCATCTGGAATGGGGGTTGGTTCACTGTTCAAAGTGGCCTTTCCAGGGAACCAACTTCCATGTGGGTCTTCAGCCAGAGCAACTGCCAATGGTTCTGGGTAAAAAGCCAGATATTCCTCCTGCAATGAGTCTCATCATTTTGCATTTAACTGACTTCAGTTCAGCTACATAAAACCCATATAGCAAGTACTTTACAAAGGCTCCTCCTTCCATTCTCCTCCCACCAATAATCATGAGAGGTTAAGAACCCCTGGTTTAAAATGCAGGGATCTCAAGACATCTGTGAAGGACTTAGGATGAAAAAATGCTGTCCATCCCCAAAGAAAGAACTGATGGTGTCTGAATACAGTTTGAAGCATACTTTTTTTTTACTTTATTTTTCTTGAGGTCTTTTTTCCTTGTCTATGTTTTCTTTCACAACATGACTATTATGGATATGTTTTGCATGACTACACATGTGTAACCTATATCAAATTGCTTGCCTTCTCAATTGGGGGGGGGGGGGAGGGGAGGGAGGAAGGAAGAGAATTTGGAACTCAAAGTTTTAAAAATTTAAAAATTGTTTTTACATGTAACTAGGGAAAAATAAAATACTAAATAGAAGTGGTAGTTTCCCAACCACTACTTGTGGAGTAAAGAAAAAAGTGCAGAGATCCCCACTGAAGAAAGTCTGAGCACCACTGGTCCGTCCACGGACACAGCTCCCTCAATTCCATGACCGAGTCTAAAGTTCGATCTTTTTGTGTTGACCCTATCCATCGACATTTAGGTGAGGCAGCTGAGAGGCCTGATTTGGAGGGCAAAGGAGAAATGACAATGGGCCATGATTCCTTGGTCTGCAGACCAGATCTCCCAGAAGCCTTGGCACGCTCTTTCCCTTTGTGGATCAGAGCATCATGGATTTAGAGCCAGAAAAGGTCTCAGAGGCCAACTAGGCCCTCTCATTTTACAGATAAAAAGTGAGGCCCAAGAGTTTGTGACTTACCCAGAGTCACATAGGTAGGTATCAGAGGTGGAATTTGAACCCAAAGACATTGCACCCTGCTGCCCCCCATCCTGGACAACTGTCGGTAGGTGCCCCAAGGCATCAAGTGCAAGATTTCCCAGTAAGGTGCTATCGCAACAGAAGCAAGCCTCGGCAAACAGCAACTTGAGGTCTTGAACCAGCCCTTTATTTCCTTCCTCTCATTTGTGACCAAACCCCTCAGTGACTCGCTCCTGGCTGACACGGAAACGCATCCAAAGGCTGCATGCTGCTGCGACCTCCATCAAGCATGCCTGGCGGAAATGGAGGGTGAGTGCCTTCCCCTGTGCCTAGCCTTGCTCCATCACCCTGGAAGAGGAGAAGGGCATTCTGGGGGCTTTCACTTTCATAAAATTATTTGTGTTCACCATCCAAAGTGTTTTTCCCAAAGCCACCTTAGGAAATCCTGTTTTAGAGATGGAAAAGGACTTTAAGAATTACCTCATCCACTCTCCCTCATTTTACCAAGGAAGAAACTGAGGCCCAGAAGGGAAGGCCACACACTTAGTGGCAGGTGCAGAGCTAGAACTTGGGCCTCCAGACTCCCACCTGCCCCCAACCCTCTGAGGAGTGGCCTAACTTTCCACTTTTCAAACTCCACCCAAAGATTTGAAATGCTGGAATGATTTACCAGATGATGTACTAGAAGACAGTTCTAGTTGCTGGTGCATGCGAGCAGGGGAAGGGCCTGTGATGGTAAAAGGCTTCTTGTGTGGGTGTTCTTTGAAGGCCAAAATGGATTCCCTAGTATTCACAGAACTGGATGATGTGGAAGAAAACTGCTTTGCCAAAGTGCCTTGCTCCCCCCTCTCTACCACCCTGCCATGGCCCCCACGTGAGACAATCCAGCTCTGGCCCCTGGGACTCGTGCTGTCAAACGCACCTGCAGGTGTCATCGGGATGCGGAGGAACCTGTCCCTGCAGGCTTGTCTGCAAATTCCTTGTCACAGCAGCACCTACAAGGTAGAGGCCACCCAGTGTGACCAAGCTGGCATCACTTCCATCAGAGCACTGCCCCAGGTAAGGAAGAGCTCTCTATTAAATGGATTCCACGAGAGTAGCAGATTTTGCCCATGACTGCTCTGGGGCAGTGCGTGCCACTGCTAATGTTAAAAGCAATGTTAATAACAATAATAATTAACATTTATATAGCCCTGTGAGTTTTGCAAGGCACTTTATTACTACATTACCTACCGTAGGAAGTAGGTGCTATTATCTTTCTCATCTTATAGATGAGCAAACCAGAGCAGAGGTTAAGTGACTTGCCCAGAGTCACACAGCTAATAAGGATCTGTTTTCAGATTTCAAACTAAAAGGGAAATAATCCTTGTGTTCAGGGAGCTTACATTCTATAAGAATATAAAAACAGATGTAGCATAAATAGATAAAAAATAAAAATAGATGTTTCTTGGTTGGTTGACTAATTAATGGGGGAGAAGGTAGTATTTTCACTTTGATAATTAAAATGTATTTGTGCTTTCCACAACCCTTAATAAGGTGTAAAATGGGGTGGGGGAGCAAAGCACAGGAGGGCTTTCCTGATCCTCCCAGATACCAGGGCCTTCTCTCCCTCACAAAAAAATTAGCAAGAATGAAATAATATAGAATCACAGCTTGTGAATCCCAACTGTCCTTCCCTGCCTTGGGCAGATGGCTGGAATCTATGGCTTTGTCAGGTCACACCCTAGTCTGGCAGCTAGTTAACCAAATGAATGTGAGCTTTCATTTACTAATTAAGACTGAGGTAAGTAGGAGAGAATGGTCACTAGAGAATGAGATGGCAACTCCAGGGCCTGTTTACAAGGGGGTGAAAATATAAAGATGGGGGGTCCTCCGTACATTCTTTGGGGTGTGGTATGGAAAGAGGTTTCGGCTGGAACATGGGTGGTCAGGGCCCGTGTTCTTCCAAGGAATAGAGCCAAGTGCCATTGGACTGTCTTTCTAGGGCTCCATCAGGTTTCACTGCAAGAAGTCCCCCTTGCTCTATGCCAACATCAGTCCTGAGCCACAGAACTACGACATCACTGGCTTTAATCAGATCCTGCTGGACAGACACAGACTGATTCCAGTCTGATACTCTTCTTGCCCTTGAGTCTTGCCTACCCTGAGGTGGGGCAGGGCTCCCTGCACTGCACTTTGTTTCCTCCAGGACTCCGCCTCCTGATGCCTTTATGAAGCACAGCATTCCAACCATCCTCCCCCAGGGACCTCAGTCATACCTGAGACCGTACCTCCCTCTGAGCCCAACTCTTAGAAGCACTGATTCTGAGCAGGTTAGCAGCCCTGGCAGTGATGAGGGCCTTGGGCAGTTTAGCCTTCGGGCTCATGCTTCCCAGGCACAGTACAGCTCCTTCAGGTAGGAAGGGAGAAGGGTCAGTGCAGGATTTTTAAAGTGGAATTCAAAAGAACTAGGGCTATCCCTCCCTCCTCAAGCCTACATGCCTGAGCTCTATGTCCTCTACTCCTGTTGAGTAAAGTTCTCTGCAGATCGTGCTGGGTGAAAGCAGTAGGAATGTGGCCAAAATCAAGGCAGAGACTCGTTACTTGATAAAGTCTAGATAACAGTCTTATGTTGACACCATTCAAAGTTACTTCAGATGATTAGTTTGTTCTACACCAAAGATGATGATCTGGGGGAAACGAAAACAGCTTGCACTAAAATCAGTAACTGTCCATTTTATTTAAATGCCATTACTAGTGGCATCCAGGAACAAACTGAGCCAAGATGATGTTTTAACTCAGACGTATATGAGAGGGAGACTTTGCCAAACAAACCCCTCTCCTAGGCTTGTTTTGATGTGTGCCATGAACAAATAAAACTTTTTAAAGAACCAGTCCACGTTAATATCAGTCTTTCTTTTTGTTTTGTTTTGCTTAGGCAGTTGGGGTTAAGTGACTTGCCCAGGGTCACACAGCTAGTAAGTGTCAAGTGTTTGGTCTGATCAGCCTTTCTTTCCACCAAATAAGTTACCTCTTTTGGGCTTGAGCACACTGTGTTCACCAGCAAGATGAAAAGCAGAGGCTGGAGAGTCCTAGGCCTTTGACTAGAGCCAGCCGCCCCACTGAGCCCCTCCCTTGGGGAGGGCTCTGTCCATCAGGTCTCAGGTCCTGGAACTGCCTGTGATCCAGCCTCCACTCTTAAACCCCAGAGTGAGGGCACTAAGCTCCAGTTTCCTCTTTCCAAGAGGCTGCCCAGTTCCTTCTCCACATTTGTAGGCGCTCAGAGCCAGCCCAATTCACCCCTCCACATCCAAAGTGTTTTCTTCCTCAGGAGGGTCAACAATTCTAAGACAGCAGTCAGCAAACTCCACGAACAAGGGCTCTTGCATATGACTTTTCATAAGGGTCTCTTTGTCTTCTGCCTGGTCAATGCTGACCAACAACTGGCGAAGGTGGGGATTGGTCAATAAGTTCCTTAATTCCTTAGAGTTCCCTTGAGAAACAGACAAGAATGAATGTGAAGGGCAAGCACTAACAGAGCTAAAAGCATTACCCCATCCACTGGAGTCTCAGGCAATCAAATATAAGGAAGTACACATCTTTTACTAGGGCTAAAGCTTTCATCACACATGGCTACCTTATTACCTGGCCTCTTGTCACCTATTACAACATTCACATGGAAGTTGAAACTAGATGTCCTAAGATTAACCATCAACAGTCAAGACTATTAGGATAATTTTAAAATAAGGATCTTGTTTTCAGTGTCCTAAAAAAAAAATAAAGATAAAAAACTTTATTTTAAAGCACCTGGATATCAAGCAAAAATGTCAGAAGCCAGTTCTTACCCCCTTTATGGCATTTAGCAAGTAAAGAATTACAACTCAATCTCAAGAAAGGACAAAGCATTTCATCAGTGCTGGGGCTAGGTGTGCCCGAGCAGGCTTAATGACTTAACAAGACCACACACACCTTACAAATGACTTCATTTCCAAGGCCTCCTTACAGCAGAGGTAAGTAAGGAGTGGAGGAAAGGAAGATAACACCTCATGACAGTTGCTCTGGCGCCAAAGTACTAGAGGAGTCCGACTTCCTCCAACATAATCCTGCCTTGGCAAACACACAAAAGCCAAGTGTGAATAGAAACTTGTTACCATTAGGCATTCAGGTTCTGTCCTGCTCTGTGCTGGGCTGACTGTCATTGTGGGGGGTGGGGAGTGGTATGTCAGATGGTACAGAACTGTAAAGTCACACCACCATATAGAAAAAAGGCCTAAATTTACAATGACAGTGGCCCAGTATCCGATGTTAAAAATAGAGAGTGTGTGCATGTAAAAGTAAAGGAGAAGGGTAGTATCCTCACTGATTTAAAACAAAAAACAAAAAAAAAAAACAAACAGTGCAATGGATAGAGCACTGGCCCTGGAATCAGGAGGACCTGAGTTCAAATCCAGCCTCAGACACTTTACATTAACTAGCTGTGTGACCCTAGGCAAGTCACTTAACCCCATTGCCTAGCCAAAAAAAACCAAACAAACAAACCCCCAGATGCTTGAAATATATACTAAACATATAATTTACCATTCATTGAATGGGATGAGGCTCTGACACTCCTAGCATACATCTGCTTAATAAACCAAGGTCTCCTTCCCTTTAGTCATTATTGAGATTGAGAGAGACATGTGTCTGAATGTCAGAAGTATATTTTGCCAGCCTTACAGGATCACTGATCACAGAGCCATGAGGGATCTATCTCGAGGCATCTAGTCCAACCCCCCTCATTTTATAGATGAGGAGACTGAGGCTTGGAAAGATTAAATGATTCATCCATTACCACACAGATAGGGAGTGTCCTTTCCACTGTATGGAAAGTCATTTCTCACTGGCAGTTAATTCTGGCAATATTTTTTTTTTTTAATTTCTCAGGAAGCCACAGGGTCTGTATGTAATTATAACACAGAGTTGCTTAGCTATAAAGAGGATCCTAATTAAGCAATCTGTCAGTAATTTTTCTGTGTTTAAAGATCTTAGTCATACTTTGGCTTAACACATGCAATCATTTTCTATGCTACGGGCCCATCAGATTACAAAACCACACATAAGATTAAATGTGATGTATGACATTGGCTTACCCAGGTCCTTCAGCTTCCGAATAGAAACTCTGTCCTTTTCATCATCACTGTCCAGAATATCAGCCACTGACCAATCATTACCTAGAAGATAAGTGTTTGTTATTTGCTCAGTTTTTCCCCAGTTAAACAGATGGAAATGTCTTCAATGCCACTTGCAATGCCCAAAAGAAGGGTCCTGCAAAGAATAGTGGAACCCAGAGGACACAGGTTCAAATACTATCTCTGATAGTTACTGCCAGTATAATCTCACAATTGTAATCTCACAATCAAGAGGCTTCTGGCCTCTGAGGTCCATTCCAGCTTTAACTCTACAATCCCCTGATTCTCTAGGGCCTCACTACCTGCCTTATCAATATTACGGAAGGGGCTTATGGTGAGTGAACAAACATTACAAATCTATGAACCCAAAGTACTCAGCCTATGAAGTTCTATGGATGAAAAGCTTCTAGGAAGAAAATAGTCAAATCCAGTTCCATTCCCACCAACACTTATATTCTGGACACTATTCCCAGCAACTCTTAAAAAGAGGAAGCAAGAAAATTTTACACTAACGTTACTGCATTCCAGTCAACATCAGGATATATTTACTGAGTCAACAATGCAACAGATTCAACAAATAAACATTTCTTAAGTATGTATACAAGTTGCTGTGCTAGAAGCTGGAGAGATGAGAAAACAAATCTTCTAGGAGCTTACAACTCAATGAATGCAAGGTAGAGTGTGAAAAGAGGAAAGGAGGTATGCAGATGGCATGTCCTCAGGAAATTCTGAGGAGGAAGAAGGGAATACCCAGCTTAGAGGATCAGGGCAAACTTCCTATAAGGAATAACCTAGTAAGAGTACCCACTGTACCAATTCCTGCCATCCTCCCTAGAGAGGCCCAATTTTATGTGTCCCACTGAAGCACTTAAAACAGCTCGAGGCATGCAGTTCTGTAGATGCTCGATAAACACTTAATTGAACTCTCCATCCTTATGTCTGCCACCTGTGTCAAGTGAAACCTGAAACCCAGGAAATAAACTGGAGCTTCTAAGCATATCAATTTAGTACATAATGCATGCCAACTGCATAACAAATTAATCAGAACCAGGCCTCCTCAACTTTGGCACTGGACCCTGAATACAGGAAGAGACAAATTTTTGGTGCAATAAAGCAAACAATAGGATATAAACCAAGATACAAGATTAGTAATCTGACTTCTAATCGAAGGAAAGATTAGGAGCTTTCCAAGTTGGGAGGGGGAGAGCAAACAGGTGCAATTCTCCGAAATCAGAAAAAGAGATGTCCCATACCCCCCTCTCCACAAACGTTTGGATTCAATCGAGGGAACAAGGAAACAGTAACTGACTGACCAGTATGGGGCAGTTTTCAGATAAGACATGAATTGCTTGAGATGTATAACTGTGAGAAAATTCCCTACACATCTATCTGGATCTGACTGGGTTTCTGGTCAGCATAACCCAGGCCCTTACTTACGGGTCTCTAAGCAACAGGTAGAGGTGGTCCAGCTTCCTAGCCATGAAGGGCTGGGTTCAAACAAAGTTTTCTCACAATTCCCATAACTGAACAAAGTTTTCTCACTAGACAAAGTGGACTAGACCCCCACAAGTGAATAGAAAGAAACTGAGCTAGAACCTGAATTGAGTCGAGAGCTTGTATAGTTCACTCAATTCCCACAATTCTCTCACAACCCCTTGCTTTGGATGTGGGGCTTCTAACATACCATGGGACTCTTCCTCAATCCCTTAATCGAAAGGGCCGAAAGATGTCAGCCAACCTTCACTGTCTGTAGCATCCCAGGACTTTGGGCCAAATCCCACTCTTTGCCAATTCTGAACCCGTGGGAATTCCTCTCAATCAATTTCTCCATGCCCAAGCAGCTGAATGGACAAAGTCCCATAACTGGGCCAAGGCATCTCCACTACTAATCGATACTCTTTATCCTACTACTATTATCATTCTCACAATGACTCTACCAAACCTCTCTCCTCAAACACCCCATTTTATCTCCTCTATCCCTTTCTGGGTAACCTTACTTCCTACTACTAGGAACATCAGATGTGAGCTCCCTCAACTTCCCTCCTCTGTCTTAATATTTTTCTAAATATTTTATCTGTCCTTTCCTCTTTCCATAGTGTTTCAGAAGAAAAGTTTTCTCTCCTATTTTCAAAATTACATTGACCCTGGTCCAGATCCCATCCCATCCTACAGCTTGTCTCTGTCAATTCTCTGTCCTGTCTTCATTACCCTCTGCCTAAAAGCAAGTTCAGGTCTCCCTTATTCTATTGTAAAAGCCTCCTATTTGGTCTCCCTGCCTCATGTCTCACCCCATACTAATCCATCCTCCACCAAAATGGTTTTCTAAAGCACAGGTTTAACCATGTCCACCCCCCTCAAAACTCCAGTAGCTCCCTTGCCTCCAGGATCACACATCAATCCCCCTAGCTGGAATTAAAGTTCTTTATAACTTGGCTCCTTTCTGTGTCTCTAGTTTTTTGTTTTGTTTTTTACACATTACTCACCTTCTCTAAAGCCCAGGTGCTGATCTGCTTCCTCACACTGGAAGCTCCAGATCCAGGCCCTGTGCACTGCCTGAAATGTTCTCCCTGCCACAAAAATGTTTGTTATTCTCTCCTCTCCTTACTCTTTTCACTTTTCTTTTCTTCCTGTCAAAATTTCCCTGGTCTAGTCCTTAAACCTTCCAGTTTCACCATTCAAAAAAAAAATCACTCACCTTTGTCCTCCAAAATCTTTGTTTTCACAAGATGTGTATCTGAGTCTCCATTTTTCACAACAAGAGAGGGTTTGCATTGCTCTGGAAAAATTAAGAACACCAAAGTCTCTTTACAAAGCAGGCAAACCCCATGCAAGCCTGAGCCTGGATGGATTGAAGGAGAAAGGAAAAGAACAGAAAGGGCACAGACTATAGCCTTCCCTTATTTACAGCTCAAAACGCAGAAGACAGTTTAAAAAAAAAAGGCACTATGATTCCGTGATTTTGAGACAATGGGGAAAGGAACAAAAGGACAGAAATAGGGAAGGGAGTATGGAGAAGAAAAAGATGGGAGGAAAAAATGGGAAGAAAGCTACTGACAAGATAAAAGAGAAGAAAATCAAACGGAGCAGAAGAGAATGGGGGAAAGAGACAGGGCAGGGAGAAGGGAAGGAGACGGCATCGGGGCAAGATGATCAAGGAAAGTGAACAGGAGAGGATGGGGGGACAGGAAAGCGAAGACAGGACAGACCGGCGGAGGCGGGGCTGCAGGGCGAGGTCACGGGGGTCAGCCAGGGGGCCGCGCCCCTCCCTACCTTTGTGCTTCTTGTAGCAGGGCACGGAGCAGCTGCAAGAGAACCAGCGACAGGCGGGTCAGAGCGGACTGGCGCCTCTGGGTATGGACCCCGGAATTACCGCAGCCTCCCCCGAGCCTCCCCAGCCCGGGCCCAGAGCGCACGAGGGCCTCCCCGCCCTTTTCCCCCCTCCCTACTCCCCTCGAGGTCTCACGTACTACGGGACGCGGCAGGCGGGACAGCGGTACTTGGGTACCTCCTCGCACACGGAACACGCAGCCCTCACTGCTCGAGAAGCCATGACCGCCTCCGGCACTCCAGCGCAAGCGCGTGTCGAACTCCCGCGCCACGCTCCCTAAGGTATCGCGAGAGAACCCGGAAGTATGTGATCTGTTTCCTCAGGATCCTCCAATCCGGGCCTAGCCAAGGCCAAAACTAGGCAAAACCAATCGACCCCCGCTCCCTCCACCTACTAGACCTAGATAGTACAGCGCCAAGTATTTGATCTTGCACGTGGGTAGGCCGGGTAGAAGGAAAGATCACGTGGTTCTTTAGAAGTACGCAAATCCCACCAGAGTTTTGTGGGACCTGGGTAGGCTTACTAGGTTTCGTAGGGTCTTGAGATGGACAATAGTGAATGGTCATTAAACATCTATTAAGTGCCTACAATGTATTAGGCACTGTGCTGAGAGCTGGGGATACAAAGGCAAAAGACAATCTCTGTCCACAAGGAGGTCACATTCTAATGGGGGAAAGAGAGCACATAAAAAGAAGCCGGAAAGGAGGGAAGGGCGAGGGTACCTGGCGCCAGGGCATGATGAAGTCCTGCAGCCATGGAGGGAAACGAGGTGACTGCCCTGGGCCCCCTCCTTCAATGGAGAAACTGGGAGGTCTCCTAAGTTCACCCTTCCCCTCCAATGGGGGTGGGGTGGAGCAGGGACATGGGGTACTGAGAAGGTATTTAAGAGTTGATGCCATCTTGCTAGATGAAGGATGTCTGGAGATCATGATGGAAGGGATCATTTCTAAAATGAGGGAGTTGGACTAAATTTTTAAGGCCCCTTCGGTCTCTAAATGCTATGATCTAGATTTCTCCAAGATCACATGATTTGGAAGAACACAGCCAAGGGATCAGGGCAGCCCTAAGTTTCCTTTCCCAGTCTTTGGTCCAGGGATGTCCTTAGACCAGGTTCAAGGATGATTTATATATTTATGTCATATGTCTTTACATGAAACTGAGTTTCATCTCACCCTCTCCCATCAATCAATCAATCAATAAGCATGTATTAAGTATATACTAGGTGCCAAGTGCTGTGCTTGGGATACAAAAAGAAATAAAATACTGCCCCTGCCCTCAAGGAGCTTAGAGTCTAAGGGAGAGACATGCACACAAATATATACAAAGTAAGGTATATACCAGACGAATAGGAAATAATTAACAGAAGGAAGGCACTAGAATTAAGAGGGGTTGGGAAGGGCTTCCAGTAGAAAGTGAGATTTTAGTTGGGACTTAAAGGAGGCTAGAGAAGTCAGTAGTTGGGAGTGGAGAAGGGACGGTATTCCAGGTATGGGGGACAGCCAGACAGAATGTTTGGAGCTGAGAAGTGGAGTGTCTCATTTGTAGAACAGCCAGGAGGCCAATGTCACTGAATTGAAGAGTACTTATCCAGGAGTGAGGTGTAAGAAGACTAGAAAGGTTGGAGAGGGCTAGGTTATGAAGGGCTTTGAATGCCAAACTGAGCATTGCTCCTGGAGGCAAGTGGAAGGCTCTGGAGTTTATTTGTTGGGGTTGGGAGGGTACAGGGCTGACATGATCAGACCTGTGCTATAAGAAAATCATTTTAGTGATTTAGTGACTTAATGAAGGATGGATTAGAGTGGGGAAAGACTTGAGGAAGGCAAACCCACAAACCATGTATGGCAATAATTGAGGGGAGTTGATGAGGGCCAGCACTAGAATGGTGGCAGTGGCAGAGTAGAGAAGGGGGCATATTAGAGAGATGTTTGAGAAAGCCTTCTGGGACTCTGTGAAACTAAAGCAAGCACATCCAGCCTGGTAAAAACACTCCTTGGGCTTTCTTTGCTTGGTTGTGCCAGTTAGAGAAGAATCAATGTCTAGAATGGGACCCTGACTGTCACACAGGCCACCCAAAATGGACCTTCCTTTCTTAAAGTGGTAAGAGTTCCCTTGAGTCCCTCCTCTTCAACCATCTCTTAGAGGAAACTGAGGCAGAGGATTACAACCTGGAGGGGTAGGGATGAAGGTGGGTAAGGAATAGAGACTCAGGTCTTTCCTTCTGGGTTATTTGCCCAGGGTGGCACCTCTACATTTTCATAGCCTCTCTTCTGCCGCCTCTCCAAGAGGGGCTGGAAGACAGAAACTAAGAGCACTCCCATGACTAGAGCAGAAGACAGAACCTTGGTGATTTTTCCCTGGAAGACAAGAAAGTTATCCAAGGGAACACTGACCATCTGCTGGAGATGATAATGATCTCTGTTGTGCAGAGTAAATGCTGTAAATACTTGGGTAGCTACTTTCTCTTCTGCTCTCAGGTCTGTTCCTATGCAGAGCTCAAACAACTTGACCCTCATGCCTCACCCATCCCTCCTGATCCTTATTTTTCTCCTCCTCTCTCCAGCCTTTTAGGTGACACTGCTTTGGGCTCCTCTGACTGAGGCTCAAGTTCTGGCCTGAGCCTTCCTTGGGGTGTGACAAATGGGAACTATTGCATCCCTCACTTGTTGGCACTTTGTAGATCTCTATGCTTCTAGGGTTTGGAAGGATAGTAGAGAGGTCAATAGATTGGAAAGAATGAGGTGAAGGCTTCCACTGGCTCTTTTAAAAACAAACAAAACCTGTCACTAAAGACCTAAAGGAAAGACTATTCTTTTGTTGTAGTGAAAATCACATTGATTGGGGCATCTAGGTGGCGCAGTGGATAGAGCATTGGCCCTGAAGTCAGGAGGACCTGAGTTCAAATCTGGCCTCAGACCAAACACTTGACACTTACTAGCTGTGTGACCCTGGGCAAGTCACTTAACCCCAATTGCCTAAAAAAAAAAAATCACATTGATTGTGCCAGGCTGAACATGGATTTGAACCGTGCTATTTATTGCCTAAGAACTTTAGTGGGATGCCCAGAGCATCACTCAGAGTCATGGACTATGGATAATACCAATTTTAAAGAGATAGGTCCTCACTGAGATTCAGTTTCATCTTCTGTCATAAGAAGGGATTTGGACCAGACAATCTCCAAAATCCTTTCCATGTAGGAATTCTAGTATTCTCCTATCCCACTCACTTCACCTCAGGTGGCTCTTTTGTGGCTAAAAGCTGTTCTTCATTGTGCTGTGGTTGTTGTCTTTCGTGATCAAAGAGGACCAATAACATCACAGGGGTGATGTCCTGACTTGCCTGTGACTTGTTTTTCCTAGATGTTGTGACTAGAAAGCTGACCTTAGACCTGAGTCCGTGTCTTGCCTCTGATACATGGGGTAGTTCATTTAACCCTTCAAAGTCCCTCATGAAACTAAGACTATAAGTGCCAAGAAGGTGCCAATCTGCTTAAATAGAGTTTCCTCCTCAGGACCTCCCTACCCCAATGAAATCACAGATCAAGTCCAAAAATAAATAAACACATGCATACATAGGAGTGGATGGAAAGGTCAAGAGTGATTTGCCCCTTAGGCGTGTCCCTGAGTTCCAACTCCTTCCCCTACCCCAACCAAGGACAGAAATCCTTGGTATAAGCATGGGAGAAGGGGTGGGGAGGGAAGAGGAGGACTGGGACATCGAGACTAGTATTGACCCTCATGAGACTAGTATTCAGCTCTTCTTTCTTGACTGAGGGCACCATCAAACCTAACCTCCATCTTCCCATCAAAAAATACAGTTTATGGTCTTCAGTGTAAATTCCCCAGGTTCACACTGGCCTGGAGCAGTTCAGTTTGGATTGTGTTCCCTTCATCCCTGTCTCAGCTGCTTTCTGATCATAGTGCCAGACACCTGCTCAAGTGGAGAAAATAGCTCCTGGAACTCATACAAGGAGTGCAATGAGCAACTACATCAAGAGAAAGTAAATTTATTCTTGGGAAAATGAGTGAAAAATACTAAGGTGAGGTCTAGAGAGAACGAACAAAAGGGAAGGCACCTGGCCAGGAGAATCAGACTTCCCTCCCCTTCTTTCCTTCCCTCCCCCATTCAATCCCAGAGACATCCTTCCCCCTCTTTCCCTCACAGCCCTTTCCCAAAAGCACCAGGAGTGGAGAGGAATACTGCAGAAGTGTGGGGTACCTCAGGATGCTGGCTCCGCTTACTTCAGAACTCAAGCCCTGCAACTCCTCCAGCCCAGCTGGAAAGATGAGAGCTGTCCAACCCCTGAGTGCTGAACCAGGTCCCACGTTCTCTGCCTCGCAGCAGAGGCGAGGAGATGTCATCTAGGAGACATCTAGGGTATATGGAAAGATCCCTTCCCCTACTGTCTCGCCCTGTCTTCGAATTCTCCAACAGAAAGTTAAAGTGACCTTGACTTCAGTTCACTATGTCAATAATCCTGAGGGCTCCCTGTCCCTCTCAGTCATGCACACACTTTAAGCCTTTATTTAAACGAGTTTAGAGCGGCCACCAAAATAGACAGCCTGATTTCTCCTAAGTGACTCAAATCCTTCTTATTTTATATCCAAATTAACTCCTGTCCCTGCTGCTTACGCAGCCAAATGGACTATTCAGTAGCAAGGAGAAAAAGCACACAGATCTCTAACCCACTCCCACTATGAGAAAGATTAGTTGGGATTATTAAATCCTACCAAGATAGTTGAAGAATTTCCCTTGTAAATTATATGCAGTTTGGAATCTCTTCCCCTACCTTATCACCTGCCTCAGAATGAATCTAGTATAGATGATGCCCACCCTCTTCTGTTCTTGGCAATATCCAGTTTTGGGAGAAGGGGAAGTCTTCAGGGATTAAATGTCCCTAACATCTCTAATGTCTTGCATTTGGATCTGGTTGTTGGGAGAGCATCTGGAGAAGAGGAGAAGAAACTTGCTGCCCAGACTCTTCACCTTGAGAGTGTAGAGCACAGGGTTCCCTAGGGCATTGAGGGTGATCATAATGGCAGTCACATTTCGGAACACAAAGAAGCCAGGATACAGATCCTCAGGGCAATGCCAGCTAGCCACATCCACCAGAACACCAGCGAAGAAGGGAGTATAGGAAACCAGAGTCAGCAGCCAGATAGCAATGCTGGTCCGGACCACTGGAACCTCAGCTAATCTGGACCCCCCTCCTCCATGACTCTCCATGGCAGCCTCTTGCTTCTTCAGCACCAAC